GCATCCATCGACAGTGGAGTTGACTCTCAAGGACTTGCTGAGGCTCAGGTGAGCTTCGAAGCACTCAGCCTCAATTCTCGAGGCCCGAATTGAGCCTCGCCGATGGCTTCATCAACCACCCTCATTTAACCCTGGATTCAACCATGAGAACAGGCCTTTCTGAGACCGTATACAAACTTGGTCGCATCATCAGCCTTGTTAATTCTCATCTGAGAATTCGTTCCGACCTCTTCTTCAACTCGTAATTTAATTTTGTGACGGAATAATCATTTCTACCCGAACGTCAAGGTTTAATTGACTCCTTGGATAACTTTTAAAGAAAAATATTAAACATAGTCTCACTAGGAATCGTCAAATTCATACAACATTCATATTAATGTAATCCATCTCAAATGTGATTGAATATGGAATTCCCATTGTTAACAAGATGGTCGCGCAGTTTAAAAAATAGACACCATTTTATCTCAGATATTGATAAAAGCGACAACAAAGGTAAAATTATACATGTATTGAACGAATATAGATGACAAGCGAGACAGACATACTAATCATCATGGTAATGAAAAACAGACAAAATATGAAGTGTCACAATGAGTACCAAAAGACGATCTCGATTGTCTGGTGATTATCGATTTTCACCACTCTTTGTCAAAGGAGCCGATGACCATGGACCGCATCGAAAACTTACTCGTCATCGTACTCTTAGAGAGTCGAACACTCTATTATACTATTCTACGTCCATTATAAGGCACTCTTATAGAGGCTTTAATAATTGTCAGTTGGTTATAGTCATTTAAATCGATCAATTAAATATCGAACAGTCGATACGCTAGAAATCATATAACGTTAATGTGATGAGCTATTATACTATGCAACAGATTCATCTAACTGAGCGAAATTATTAAAAAATTGTTGAGTACGTTAGACCCTATTAATCATGCTGTGTAACTTATATAATATTTCGTGAATTCAGTTCTGATGGTTAATATTATCTTATTAATTGGGACATTCGATAAAACCCTGTAGCAATTTCTGGCTTCAAAATTTTGATCTTCACCATATTGTCATAAGTTATTATATTTCCAAAAATAACCGACGTCGGTGGCCGAAGCGGCTAGGTGCGAGCTTAGTGTGCGAAAGGTTGTGAGTTCGATTCCCCGTGGAACCGAGTTTTTCAACCGGTGGCTCCGGCGAGCGGGAGGTCGCTAATATAGTGACCGCCTCTACCGGCATGGGTTTTTTGTGGTTTCCCATGCTACTCCTATGTTCTATAGGAGTGCGAATGCGGTGCAGTGTAGAATCCACAGCCGCATGGACAGGGTTGGATAGGGCCGATTAGCCAATCAGAGGGCAGAAAGGGCCGGAATATAAATTTTAAAAAATATCTAAAAATACGCAAGGAAACCAATTTATAGCCCTCTATCTCTTCAAATGGTGGGGCACTGCTTGATAACGTGTTTATACCGATTTTTTTCATGAATTGATTTTGGCCGTACTAATTGGGTTAGAAAAAAATATTGCACATGGTTTTCGATCATAAAAACTCCAAATTAAAAAAAAAATATCATTTTTATTCGAAAGTCATTTTATAATGGAAAATCGACGTTTTAAACTTAAAAAACGTGATTTAACCCTGTTCCCCAAATTTGTTTCCATTTTTTTCATTGGAAAGCTGAGAAAATTTTATAAAAAATATATAAAATTCAAATTACAAACTCTATGGGATCAATTAGAATTATTATTTCAATGACATTATCAAATAATCGGATTTCAAAAAATGTGAAAACTTTCAGCAAACGTCAGTTAGTGGTACACGAGTAGATATGAGTACATACGAGTACATACGAGTCTGTGATCTTTACGTAGATAATTTTATTTGTTTGAAGTTAACAGAATCGCTGTATTTCTTGAAGAGGAGAGTATTTTCAATGTCAGTCGTTATCACACATTGGAACCCTCTGGTGCCGAGAATAATGCGAGTCTTCATAAAACGTGGAGTCAATTCAGTGCTAAAAAATTCATAGTCCTGTTTGGAACAATGAATGACATGGATATTGTTCATCTTTTCACATCCCCATTTGTATAATTGTTGACTATCTCCGATTTGTTCACTGCTTCCCAGTCGGAGACTTGCATATTTCGCCTGGCGTTTGAAAAGACCTCCAATCCCATCTGATGAACCTTTGCCATCAACTGTAGCGAAGAAATTCCACTCTGCGTCTATCCCAAAGTCTTTGGAGTGATATGCAAGATTCATGAACGCCTTTCTATTCTTGAATTGTGGTGCTGCTCCATCTGAGAAATAATGAATGTTGACCATCTCTGTGAATTTCTCCTTCAAAAATTCCATCAATTTCCTCTGAAATATGTAGACAGCTACAACGTCATGTTTGAGACAATCACTGATGCCCACAAACGATAATGATAACAACTGATTATTCTCGTTATAATACATGGCCACTAGAAATACAGTAGCTGCTTCATCATTAAACCAGAAAGCACCTGCACCTGCACTGCCTCTTGAATGGTGAAGTTATAATTTTCTGAAAAATCCAACACTGCGATTATCTCTCCTGGTTGCAAGTTCATTTTCAATTCCTTGTAATACCGACTTTGTTTTCTGGCAATATAACCGTGCGCCAACATAAATTCTAATTTATGACACAATGAATCAATGAAGTCCTCAGATGATGACCAAGTGTTCTCGATCATGCATGAATCAGTCATGGACCACATTTTGTAATTGACAACTTCTATCCCCCTAGCATTGAATTCTCTCTCGAACAGTTCTGAAACTTTCTCGGTTCCTTTGCAGTTTGGACAAACTCGATAATAACATTCATCACGTGGTGGATGACAAATTATAGTTTCTAGTAAACCTTGATAAGTCGGTATCCCGTCACGTTCTTCTACTGGCTTTTCTCCGAAGAGTTCTACAAAATCACATCTTGTAGGGACGAACAATAAACAATCATGTCAAGGCTAATTGATTTCAATGACTTCTTATAGTGCATTTGTGAATCTTACCCTCCAGCATGAGTTTAACATTTGCATGATACACGCACACGCAAACAGTATGCATTCCTGGAGTACTAGCAAATACACAATATCGAGGTCTGAGAGCGGCGAATTTTGAACGTCTCACTTGGACTCCACGATTTTTCTCTATGAATAACGCATAAATTTCACTGACAGTATTCAGAAGCAGTCGTTTCTGCATCCGAAGTTTAGTACCATCATATTGTTTGACCAAGACATAATCTTTGACTCCTGGTATTTGTCTGGAGTTTTCGTCGTCTTCATAAAAATCTTCGATCATCTTCCTCACTTCTAAAATTAGTAGTGGTTTACCCGACTTTCGTTTTGTTTCATTTCTGTCCAAAGATTTCTGTAGATTACGGGTTTCATAGATCAAGTGATGTGGTGTACCAAACTCTGCATTAATTTTTCGGGCACTCCATTTTGGTGGTAGAAGTTTGATTAGTGCTACTTTCACATCCCTGGATTTAAAAGAATAAAATAATATTCCAACAGTAAAGAAATAATATGAGATAACAGCGAGATATTTCATCACTTCCTGGGAATGTTCTACTTGAAGAGTTCACAAATTTGTGTCAAAATGTACTGATGGTCTTCGTGTTGGAAATCCTGTCAGCTGACAGGTCCCTCACACTAACGCACGCAAGGCTCATCCATTCTCTCCCCACTCACGCACACCTGACGCGCTCACCTCAGATGACTAGGGGTTATTAATTCCAGCACCTGAGGCGCCACTTCCTGGACAGCTCCTTATTACCATATGATCTATATTAAATTAGGTCATGTGACCATGGAATTAGGGCACGTGGCACCTGTAAGCCCGTGTCTCTCTCTCATTCGTTTCCGGGATCTAGTTAGAGACACTTCTTTTATTGTACTGCTCATCTCTAGTGACTCGGACTAACTCATTGTGTCAGCTCAATTATTATCAATTCAAGGAATTAGTCGGCTCATTATTATCGGTCCGCTCATTATTACGGTTGCTCAGTGACTCAATTAGTGACATTTAATTATTGTGAAGATAACTTTGACAAATATAGTGAATTTGTGACCACGTGCANTGAATTTTTTGGAGTATTCAACTTTGTTTTTTTTTGGCTACCGCTCCCTTTATATTCTCCAACCCTTTTTCGTTTTTTTTGAATTTTTCAATAAATTCTCGCGCCTGCNTATCTCTCCAATCATCAGGAAACGGCATTACCGGCCCGCGGGAATATTTGAATTTTGGAGCAGCTCATCCCCGGGACTTTGGACTTTTTTCTCAACTGCAGCGTTCCTGCACTGGTCCAGCTCAACATCACTCACTCGGCTAAGTAGCATTTAATTACCTCTTGCTACTTTTGCCATTTTTTTCTTTTTTTTTTGAATTTTTTGGAGTATTCAACTTTGTTTTTTTTTGGCTACCGCTCCCTTTATATTCTCCAACCCTTTTTCGTTTTTTTTGAATTTTTCAATAAATTCTCGCGCCTGCTCAACGGAATCGCTCACTGCTGCTACCTACTAAATTAAGACTCTTCGGTGTTATTACTGTTGCCGTTCAACCGACCGGATACATAATTTCATCGCTTCTCACTGCTCACTGCTCGGCTTTTGGGGTCGCTTTACTCAGGTTTTTTCCGGTTTATTCCTTTTTTGAGCTGCGCACTTATTTTCAATTATGGCATCATTTGAGGCAACAGACCAACTCAACCCAGCAAAAGGCCGTTCCGGTGGTGACCTACACCCACGAGAACGACATCCCCATGATGGTGACTGGTGACCAAGGCCAGTCAACGTCGTCGGAATGAAGATCACCAGCTCAGATTGCCGTCTCCTGCTCAGGTCACCACTCAGATTCCGGATCCGCTCCAGACTTCCGCCCTGGGGTCCTTCTGGCTACCAGCCTTGCGCTTTTGGTACGCCCAGATCAGCCAGCTCATCAGGTTCGTCTACTCATCGATCCAGGGTCGGAAATCTCCGTCATGTCAGACCAGCTCGTTCGTCAGCTTGGGCTGTTAAGGCTCAAGACACAGCTACGAATATCGGGGATTGGAGACACGGCATCTGGGCCGGCATTAGGCAAGGTTCGGCTCACAATACAGTCCACTTGCTCTCACTTTCAGCTCAGAGTTTCTGCCTATGCTCTCGGCCAGCTCACAACCTCATTACCGACATTCTCACCAAGTCAGCTCACATGGGATCATCTGGAAGGACTCCAGCTCGCTGATCCCGATTTTCTCACACCAGCACCAATTGACATCCTTCTTGGCGCTGATGTCTATGGACAACTCATCTCACCACAAGTCATCACCAACGGACCAAACTCACCATCGGCTCAGCCCACGCGACTTGGATGGATCGTATTCGGACCAACGGAAGGTCCTGATACTACTCAAGTAGCAACTTCTCATCTAACGGTCACCAACGAGGATCTCAACGAACTGCTCACCAAATTCTGGATCCAGGAAGAGATCCCTGGGACACCAGAGGTTCAGCTCAACGAGGAGGAAGCGCAGTGTGAAGAACACTTTCAACGGACCCACTCACGAGATGCATCTGGCCGCTACATTGTTCGGATACCGCTCAAATCTCCAGTTTCCTCGCTAGGAGATTCACGATCATCTGCACTCGCTTGCCTCCATCGTCTGCTCAGGAAACTCTCACGTGATGAGGTTTATCGTCAGCTCTACACGGACTTCCTCAGGGAATATGAAGAGCTCGGCCACATGCGTCGAGTCTCCGGACAGCTCGCTAGATCAGCTCATCAGCGCCAGCTCAATGGGGGGGGGGGGCACGGGCACCGAAATGACCTTAGCACATGAGGCCTCGGCTTCAGGAGGGTTGAGGGTTTCGGGCCGTCCGTGTTCTTCTCGGGCTGACGCTCCTCCGGAATATTTCTTCCCTCATCACGGAGTTCTCAGGGCAAGCAGTGAGACAACGAAGCTCAGAGTTGTTTTCAACGGCTCCAACAAGAGCAGCTCAGGACAATCGTTGAACGAGATTATGCACACGGGTGAGAAGTTGCAGAAGGATATCTCGGATGTACTTCTCTTTTCTCGGCGGAAACGGCTCATTTTCATGACGGACATAACCAAGATGTTTCGTCAAATTCGGGTACATCCGGAAGATTGGCCACTCCAACAAATACTCTGGACCGACTCAAATGGAGATATCGCCACCTATCAACTCACCACGGTCACATATGGCACTAGGTCAGCTCCGTTCCTCTCAATGCGTGTTCTTCATCAGCTCGTTGAGGATGAAGGATCGAACTATCCTCTCGCTGTGGAACCGCTCATGAAAGGACGATATGTTGACGATATCTGCGGGGGTGCTGACTCAGATGAAGAGCTACTCAGGACCGCTCATCAGGTGACACAGCTCTGTCGGTCAGGAGGCTTTCCGCTAGCCAAATGGCACTCAAATAGCCCAGCTCTACTCACATCTCTTCAACCTGACAGCACCTCTCAAGAACAACGATTCATAGAGGACTCGCTCACCAAGATTCTAGGGGTTTCTTGGCATCCTGGAACGGACAACTTCAAGTTCTCCGTCACTCAGCCTGAGACCAGCTCAATAACGAAGAGAATCATTTTATCGGAAACGGCTCAACTCTTCGATCCACTGGGTTTCCTAGCGCCAGTGGTCATACGAGCGAAGATATTGCTCCAGGCTCTATGGATCGAGAAACTGGGATGGGACGAACCAGTTTCCCAGACAACTGCTCAACGATGGAGCCAATTCAGGGAGGAGCTCACACAGTTATCAGAGATCACCATACCTCGGTGGCTTGGACTGCTCACGGATTCCGTCGTCGAAGTACACGGTTTTTCCGACGCATCACAAGTGGCGATGTCAGCCGTGATCTATCTCAAGGTTCTCAACAAGGGAAAATCACAACTCACATTGGTTTGCTCAAAAACGAAGGTCGCACCGCTCAAACGGCTGACAATCCCACGACTAGAACTCACTGCGGCTCTCCTCCTGGCCAAACTGACTAAGTACGTCAAGGACCAACTCAATCTCACGAACGCCACCACCTATCTCTGGACCGACTCATCGGTCACGCTCACGTGGATCAGCTCACACTCCTCAAGATGGAAGGAGTTCGTGAAAAATCGGGTGGCACTCATCCAGGAGCTCACTCAGCAGGCTCATTGGAGATTGGTACCGGGCAAGGAGAATCCTGCAGACTGTGCATCTCGAGGTCTATCAGCGCACCAACTGGTATCTCATAAGCTCTGGTGGAAAGGGCCACCATGGCTTCATCAAGACTGCTCATCATGGCCAACTCACGCTCTGGAAAAAGACCTCAGCGCAGACCTCGAGGAAAAGCCAGGAGTTCTCCTACATGTAAAAGCTCATCCAATCGCGCTCTGGAATCTCGTCGACAGATTCTCATCGTTCAACCGACTGCTCAGGGTCACAGCAATCTGTCGACGATTCATAGCTCGGCTCAGGAAAACCCCCAACTCTTCTCTTCGATACCCGCTCACTCTTGGTGATCTTGAAGAGGCTCGCATCCTCTGGATCAAACTCACGCAGGCAGCTCACTTCAAGGATCAACTCAGAGCGATCTCACGAGGGGAAAGGTTCAGCAAATCCCACCCCCTCACCAAGCTCACACCCTTCATCGATCGCCAAGGGGTATTGAGGATAGGAGGACGGCTCAAGTTTGCTCACATAGGCCCGGAGAGCCGGAACCAAGTGATTATTCCGAAGGAATCTCAACTGGCTCAGCTACTCATCGGACAGGCTCATCTAAGGACACTCCACGGAGGCACACAGCTCACCCTCAGGCAGCTCAGAAGTAGCTACTGGATACTCGGAGGTCGAGCACCAGTACGCTCCTTCATCCTCAAGTGCGTTAACTGCACTCGCCAACGTGGAGTACGCGCTCAACAGCTCATGGGCCAGTTGCCACCAGCCAGACTCACTCCCGCTCGAGCCTTTCTCAACACTGGGATCGACTATGCCGGCCCAGTGTCTCTACGGTCCTGGAAAGGGCGGGGACACAAGTCGTACAAAGGCTGGTTGGCTATCTTTGTCTGCATGACCACCTCAGCGGTCCATCTCGAGGTCGTGTCAGACTACTCAGCCGAGGGGTTCATCGCGGCGTATAGACGCTTTTCAAGTCGGCGTGGGATCGCTCATTCCTTGTTCAGTGACTGTGGGACCAATTTCCTTGGCGCTGACAAGGAACTAAAGAAGCTCTTCTCGTCAGGATCAGCTCAATCAAGACAGCTCGCACAGCTCCTCATCAATGATGGGACTCAGTGGTCCTTCAATCCTCCAGGTGCTCCGCACTTTGGAGGGAAATGGGAAGCGGCGGTGAAGTCGGTGAAGTTCCATCTCACCCGGACGATCGGAGAGGATCTGCTCACTTTTGAGGAACTCACCACTTTGCTCGCTCAAATCGAGGCAGTGCTCAACTCACGACCACTGGAACCGCTCACGGATGATCCTGATGACTGTTCAGCCTTGACACCAGGGCATTTTCTCATCGGTCAGGCTCCCACGACTCTTCCAGAGCCATCTTTAGAGCAACTCAACGTCTCAAGGCTCTCTAGATGGCAGCTCATTCAGCAGAAGCTTCAAGGATTCTGGAAGAGGTGGTCCACGGGATATCTCCAACGTCTTCAAGCGATATCCAAGTGGCACCATCCGACTCATCAGATACGGATCGGCTCACTGGTTCTACTCACGGACGAGAGATTCCCGCCAGCGAAGTGGCCTCTCGCCCGAGTGACCGCTCTGCACCCAGGATCGGACGGACTCACCAGGGTAGTCACCATCAGGACTGCTCAGACGACGCTGACAAGGCCAATCGCCAAGCTCGTCCTCTTGCCCATCTCACCTTCAGGGGAATAGAACCAGGACAGATCACCGGCTTCTCACCGTTGGACTTCGTCAAGTTCGACGGATTTACGACCCTGACCAACCGACGGGGTTCAACGTGAGAATGACAGCAGCCAACGCAGAAGGGATTTACGACCCCCGACGTCTAGGATGCTGCCATGCCTAGCCAGCGCACCTTCCGGACGGTCTCACGGACTCACTCATGGGTGACAAGCTCCGACAGCTCACCAAAGAGCGTTTTGAATTTTGTTTTTTATTTCAACTCACCATGACTCTACTCATTATGGTTGCGTCAACAACTTTACAGTTGCCGACGGCCGGGGAGAATGTTGGAAATCCTGTCAGCTGACAGGTCCCTCACACTAACGCACGCAAGGCTCATCCATTCTCTCCCCACTCACGCACACCTGACGCGCTCACCTCAGATGACCGGGGGTTGTTAATTCGGACACCTGAGGCGCCACGTCCTGGACAGCTCCTTATTACCATATGATCTATATTAAATTAGGTCATGTGACCATGGAATTAGGGCACGTGGCACCTGTAAGCCCGTGTCTCTCTCTCATTCGTTTCCGGGATCTAGTTAGAGACACTTCTTTTATTGTACTACTCATCTCTAGTGACTCGGACTAACTCATTGTGTCAGCTCAATTATTATCAATTCAAGGAATTAGTCGGCTCATTATTATCGGTCCGCTCATTATTACGGTTGCTCAGTGACTCAATTAGTGACATTTAATTATTGTGAAGATAACTTTGACAAATATAGTGAATTTGTGACCACGTGCACGTGTTCCGCTCATTTCTTGGTTCTACTCATCCCACTCCCCGTAATCCGACTCCAACTCATCCATCCGCACAATTAATTCCCCGATCCAGGCATCTCATCAAACACTTCGAGAGTTTGATTTTCAATAGTGACTTGAAATTCAGACTCAAACTGCACTTTTGTCGCGGTCACCAATTGATTAAATTTCTCCTCTTTGTATTTTGCCGTCTCCAATCTGAATATATTCAATTGATATACAATGTTTCATTTTTATATTATTCGAGGAACAAAAATATATTATTTTTCATACTTCTTCCGCTCGACAGGACTGACACCGAGTTTTATGTCGATAGTTTCGTGGATGGATTGAGATGGACTGAGATAGAGTACTTGGTGTACTTGGTAAAAATTCTGAGTGCTGAGATTGAGTACTTGGTGAAGTTGATGTACAGTCTCTTTTGGAAGATTCGGAAACAGGCTGACTGCCTAACGATTCCGTATATGAATGTGTCATTGATGAAAAAGATGATGGTCTCTCGATCGGATTATACTCGTCGATTTCTTTCCGATACGTAGAGCATAGCCAATGTTTTGTGGTGAGCTCTTTAAATTTGTCAATTTGATTTGCAGTAGGTCTTCGTAAATCTGTTGAACAACTCGAATCTATGTGCATAATAAAGCGATACGTTGAACGATGACTCCAATCAAAATGACTACTAGTTTTTACGAAAAAAATATGCATAGAGACAAAGGCGATCTTATCACTTAGTCACGTGAGGTTAGACGAGATTCGACCGAAATGTAGAATTTCATGATAATCAACAACTGAAGCACATATTTGGACACATTTGACCATGATTTGATAACAATTCATATTTTTGTGAGCCACCAAATTTTCTGCTTCTTCTTCACGTATACTTTTGATTCAATTTTCGTTAAATTCTCAAACTTTCAACAAAATTCGATTATTCACAAGATTAGAGGAAATAATTCGTACTCACGTGATTCTTTAGAGAAAGGATTACAGCTTAGCTTTCCTCTATCCATTTTTAACAGTCTTGAGTCACACACAATCGGTAAACAACGATCAGCTGTCCAATTCAAATAGATCAACGGCAGCCGCATTGGCCATATTCACCTGAGCGCTCGCAAAGCATGACGGGAAATTCAGTCGTTCCCGCCCTTTTTCAAATT